TCTTTCTACATGAGCATTAGAAAGGGGTATAAGAAATCCTATTCTAGCAACTAATAATATATTTGAATTATTAAAAGAAAAATCCTCATCAGTATCTAAATTGTGTTTTCACAACTGAAAGAAATTGATTTCTCTATTATTATTTTATAGTACTGAAGAAAAGTTCGTTGAATTTATTCTTGTTAAGTTCTCCTTTGTCAATGATTCCACTAAATTTATTTCCATTTACAAATTTAATTTCTCCATAAAAATCACCTATAATTGCATAAGTGACAAATTTAAATTTTAGTTAATTTATTTCGTGCACACATATTTATAGTGTAACGTTACACCTTCCTGCTGAATTTTATACACTGATTTCACCATTCAATTTTGTCTTACTAAAGTTATTAAAGTGAAAATTTCAGCCATTTCACCAAGATTTATTTTTAATAATAGTCAAACGATGTTGGGGTGTGCAACATTCTAAGAAAATCAAAACTAATTAATGTCATATATTGATTGGTTATATGTGATTTTTTTGTGATCTGCATATCATATACAGGATTTCTGAAATTTACATAAAGAACATATTAAACATATTGTTTTCAAAACACAACTCCTCCTCCATTTTCAAAGATACAGGCATTAAATTTTCATGAAAGGTAGTATATACATTATACTTTAGAGCCATGGAAAGATTTAATAGATTAAAAATACCGGTGGCATAAAAAAACTCATTTGAAATACAGAAAATTTCTTTCTTTATCATAATACTTTTATCTATTGCAACTTCTGAAAAAATTGTATGAAATAAAGATTCTCTCTCCATAGCACTGTTCTACAAATGTAACCTAATTAAAAACTTCCAATTATTTTATAAATGTAACGATTTTCCAGAAACCTTAGCAATTGAAAGTTTGTAATACTAATAAAACGCTAATAAAACATGCTGTTTTCAAACTACTACTACTCCTCCGTTTTTAAAGATATAAACACCAAATTAGCAAGCAAGATAGTATATTTAATATAGATTAGAGCTATGGAAAGATTTAATGGATGTAAAAATACCAATGGCGTAAAAAAGCTCATTCGAAATACAGAAAATTTCTTCTTTATCATAATACTTCTATCTATTGCAACTTCCGAAAAAATTGTATAAAATTAAAATTCTCTCTCCATAGCACTGTTCTACAAATGTATCCTAATTAAAAGCCTCTAATAATTTTATAAATGTAACGATTTTCCAAAAGCCTTGGCTATTGAAAGTTCATAATATATACTAATAATGTAATAACGTATTTGAAAATATATTTTGTTACACTATTTCCTTTTTTAGAGAAAAAAGGGTACCATAAAAAAATCCGCATATATTATCGAGGATAAGCTTTTCGGGAAAATGTCAGCATAGTAGAAATTTGAAATGTGCAACGTAGCTTTACAATACACAGCAAACATTCTGGCAATAAAAAGTAAGTGATAACTGGATTTGAATTGGATCTGAACTTGA